TTGGGCCGCTGCCCCAATCGGAACCAGGACCTTCGCAAGGCCCCACCGTTTCCGCTGAGAAGATGCCGCGAACCCTGCCCCCGGAGGTGTAGTTGTGTCGGAAGGCAGAGCTGTAAGATGCCACGATGAAGTCCGGAGAGTTTGCCATGATGTGGGTCTCGTTGGGATACCCCGAGCTCAAGACCTTGATTTGAGAGTAGGCTGATGCGTACTGCGGCCAAATTTCATCATCCAGATAGGCCGTGCCCACCATGCTGTCCTCCAATCCCATCGCAAGCAGGAACTCCGTCGCGCCCTGGTTCATCGTGATGACTCGGCTCGGTGCGGAGGTGATCGTGTTTGAAACACCGCAGTTGGTGACAGTCACTGGGAAAGCAGCCACAGTCCCAAGCAAGAAGGCCATGCGAATCATGGGGCGGAGCATGATTCCAAGTCTTCGAGGGAGGCGGAGGAATGCCAAGCTGACGACCGATACGCTTGAGCCACGCAAAAGGAACAGGGGATGTCGCGACGCGTTCCCCCCCTTGGTCTCGAATTCTACACTACACAAAAAATTGAACACAAAAGTCGTCTCTGGAACTCGGCCTTCAGCTACCTTAGCTGGACTTCCAAGACGGGGACTTGCCGTGCTTAGGCTGAGCACGGCTGCGACTACCAAGAAGCAGAAGGTATGATAACCGTGGTTCTACCCGTTTCATAGTTTGGCAAATACTTTTAAGTTACTTTTGCTACTTCTCTACTTCACCTCGACCTGCAAATTGCGACTCAATGCGAGAGGCGTCTGGGAAGTTGTCCCGGTCAATCTTGAGCCGGTGGACATCCTTGGCACATTCCCACAAACAGCCCTTCGAATGATGACTAAACCCCTTCATCAAAAACGCGCATGCATTCACCGACCGCCGCAGGGATGTCTCGGATACTGCCTTTGATCGAACCGGGAGTTAAGGAGGTCACCAGGAAAATGACCCTGTTAACCTTCACACGCCACGGGCGTACGGGGAAGCCCGTGACTGTATGGGCTGCACGGCACTCAGGGCAAGCTGCGACGGCAAATCCTCTTGGGCCGTTCTGTGGGCAAGTTTTTTGCTCTGCAGGCCCACATATCAGCAGCCCAAGGCTCCCAATGGCTGTCTCCAGAAAACCTTAGCATCAAGAAGGATCTAAAACTGAGCCTGGGAACTTGGAAGTTCGACTTCTGCAGTCGTCTCGGGTCGATCAGACGATGAGTACTCGCTTGCTGACCATCGCAACTTGTATTTCAGAGAGTCTCGTTCTCCGATGTCTGTGGCAATCTTCAACTAGTCAGAGGTTGGCCTAGAATGCTGCCACTGTCTGCGGGCACCGATTGGAGAGAGATGCCGACTTTTGGCCGCAATCCAAAGAACCATCGAAGCGACTGTTTGTTGCACGTTTGCTGAGGCAGCGGCACCGTCGCGAGCTCGGCATTCTCTGTCTGGAAGCCGTTGACAAATCGATCTATGACAGGCCTTCCACACTGCGTGCCAGGTGCTCGAGCAGTGCAAGCATGCAGCAGCTCGTCCCCGTTGTGCACAGGAGAACAAAGCCGATGTGCTCACAGAGGCAAGCTCTTGAATGGCTTCGGGCTCCAAAAGCTGCAACACATTGCAACACGATGAAATTGTCTACTCGGCAAGCTGGCCTGAGATGCCTTAGCTCTAAGGCGACAAACGGATCTGTCAAACAGACTCTATGCAGGGCCGCGTGTGAGCAACAACTTAGCTTTGAGGATTTTGGAGCTGTTAATGGCCACACGCCACACCGGTAGCGTTCGGAGCCGGGGTGCTCGTCCATGATGTCTTTCAAGTCCTCGGAACTTGTTAACTGCGAACGGCCCTGTAGCCGCAAACGGGTAGACGGTAGACGGGTGCACAAGCTTCCAAGCTACTATCCCATGCCAGAGCTTAGTTAGAAGTTAGATCTCGGGGGAGAGAGTCTGTAGGAGCTTTGGAAAAAGTTACGATCTTCGGGCTTCTCCTAGCTAGGTCTGGGCGAGAACCGACGGACAAGGCTGACAACCCTCGACCCAGAATGAAATGATCAAGCTAGAAGGAAGATTGGGGCGACCATCGCCATGTTAGCAAAGAGGCGGCTTCTTCGATCTTCGCCTGCCTCGGAGCACGTGCCACGTGGATGTCGTCCGCGCACCCCTCTAGCGCACAATGAAGCTTCCCCAGATTTTCCCTCGACATGTTCTGTTCAGGCATCCTGCCACTAAGAATGGAGAAAGATGCTCATGAAGAAACGGACGTATCGGTGACTGGGTGGATACTCAAGGTCCTCGATGACATGGTCCGCACAGTGCACACCGGCGCAGGGCGATCGACGTTAGGAGCCTGTAACTTCACGTCTTGTAGAAGGTAGCTGATGCCTCTATGCAAGAGGTATCACGGCCGACGCTCCTTTTCCATGCCGCAGCAGCAGTGAGGCTGAAGGCCTATGGTTTGAGAGGCATATTACGGAGCACAGCTAAGCATCGATGCCACACGCGGGTTTCTACATCCCATATACTTTGTTTTGTTGCTTAAGGCCTAGAAACCGCGGCAACGATGCCTAACTCTGTACAGGATCCCTCGTGAAAAAGGTCACGAGGATCGGTGCTCGAGACTTAAGGAGCTCATGCTGATTGGGCAGATCTGAGTACTGAACGTCACGTTCCAGCACTCTCCACTTGTAGAAAGCTCCACTCTGCAAAACGAACTCCTAAAAGGAAACTGGCCAGGTGAAAAGCGCGGCTCAGGGGACCGTTTGCTCCGGGCGTCGTAGGCCACGTTCACCCCCATATTTTCCAGGTTGTGCCAGCCCTTCAGCTCGCCCAGCTTCAGCAGATGACCGAGCAGCGGGTCCGAAGGATCCAAAGGAGACCCCATCAGCTCGGCGACCGGTGAGGGCTCAGTTTTCTTGCGCTTTCCTTTGGACACTTGCTTCACGAAGGAGGGGCTGTAGGTTACAGACCACCGACGGAGGCCATGATTTCCCTCATGTGGGTCAGGTCCATCTCCTTCGTGCCGCCATCAGCCCACATGTTCTCGGTGCTTGTCCATCTCAACCCCGTGTTGGGTCTGCGCAGAACACTGCGCAGCCAGGCTATGGTGAAGGCTAATGACTTCTGGCTCCCGAAGCTGTTGGAGTCGCTGTTCGACTTGTCATAGACGTCCTTGGCATCGACCACCACGCAGAGGGGCACGGAGTTGATGGAGGCATCGAGCTGAGTCTTGTGAAGGCTGAGCCCACGGATGCTTGCCACAAAGCCTCGGCAAAGCTGTCCCACGTCGAAGGCCTCTTCAGCACCCAAGGTCTCCGCTGCATAGGAAGACCGGCACACCCGAGGAATCCTATGGGAGCGCATGTCGAGGATGTTGAAGTTCCCCGTCTGCCCGTTCATCAAGGCCTCGTCGGCGAGCACCACAAAGTAACAGGCCTGAGAAAACACCTTAGACAGCGGGGCCTCCTGAGCCGAGCCACCTACGTCCACATTGCCGAGAGCGGCATCGGTAACTACCATGAGCCCGCCCTTGTAGGGGTTCACGCCGCGGAACACCAGCTCGAAGTCACAGTTCCGCTGAAACTCGCGGACCAAAAGGTTTGCCCGAAGTAAGGTCCCGACAGTGGGTGGCGACTCCCCTTGCAGCGAAGAAACACTGAAGGCTAAGTCAAAGCGAAGCTGAGCCACTAGCCATTGGAACGAACCTAGCAAGGCTCGCAGCTGTCGGTGCTCCACGGCAGTCAAGGGAGAGGCCACGTCACTCTTCCGGGGCTTGCTCACGAAAACCGCACGAAGGTTCTCATGGTAGGCCTTCATAGACAGCGTCACAGAGCCATCTGCACGCTTCTGAAAGAACTTGCCGCACCAGGTGAACTCGTTGCGGGTCACGTCTCGGAAGCCAAGCTGGTCGCCCACTGCCAGGAGGGACTTCTCGGCCTCGGCGTCGCCACCGAACAACAAGTCATCAACGTGGCTCACAATCATGCCGCACAGCTTCTTCCGCTCGGGGCCGTCCCAAAGAAACCACACGGCCTGATCTAAAGCCGAACGTTGCCAACCCCGGGCCTCCAGCGACTTGGACAGCTTGACCCACCACTGGCGAGGGGCATCAGCCAACCCAAAAACACCCTTGAGGACCTTGGCCAGGCAGCCCTTCGGCAAAGGAATGTCAGGGCCGACCTTCGGGTTAGTCTCTCCGATGTAAAGTTCTCGGGCGACAAAGGGGTCCCCCTTGAGGAACGCCGCCTTAACGTCAGCGGAGAGCAGATTCCAGGTGTTGCTGTGGTAGGCCACCAAGGAGACCAGCAGATGTTGGCTTAGCCGACTCCCAGTCGGAGCGTCCCGTCGGATCTCGCCCTCCAGGTTGGCCCGGTCCTTAAAGCCTGGCACAACAAGGCGTGCGCTGGGAGCAGGAGGCAAGTTCACGCCCTCGGTCCTCAAGGAGTCGTTCTTATCCGTCATGACGAACCTCGGCGTGAGGATGCGGTCCAGCTCACGCTTGCGAGCCAGCTCCTTCCGGACCGCCAGGCTTTCCTGCAGGTTCAGGACGCGTACGGCGTCGTTGTCCACGTAAGCGCTCCAGCCCTTCACCGCCGCCTCGGCCCACAACTTCTTCTCAAAGGCGTTCATGTGAGACCAAAGCTTTTCCTTGCGGCCACCGGTGGCATACACTTCGTGAGCATCCTCAGGAACACCGGTAGGTAGAGGGACTCCCAGGGACTGAAGCAACTCATGCTGAGACCTAGCAGGCAGAGACCAGCGACCATCCCACGTGCCATGGTCTGGGGCTTTCTCGGACACAAGCCCTTTCAAGCGGTCACACTCCACCTGCGCTTGCACTTGAAGTAGTGGATGAAGATCACAACCAGGTTGGGCCAAACGACACAGCTGCTCGTGGTCTAAGGTCAAAGCTTCAAAAACGGACTGTGCACTACCGACCTGTGGATCATCAAGAACAACTGAACCCAGAGCAGCCGGCACAGAGGCAGCGCTAATGGACCCAGCTGGTTCTGAAGAAAGTCGACGGGGATCAGCAGCGTCTGCAGCACGTACATCACCCAGTGGTTCTGAAGAAAGTCGATGGGGATCAGCAGCACCGTCTGCAGTACCTACATCACCCAGTGGTTCTGAAGAAAGTCGAGGGGGATCCGCAACACCAACGCCGCTCAACGAAGACACCCTCCTAGAGTAGGTCGGAGGTCCTTCGGGGTGCGACTCAGAAGGCTCCACGCTCTCAGTCACGGAGCGCTTGCGGCCCCTCTCCATCATCGAGCGCAGCTCGGCAGCAAAGTCAGCGGGCTGCCCCCGCGCCAAGGCTTGCCGCCCCAAGGCGAGTTCTAAGGGTTGATCTTGAGCTCTTTGTAGGGCTCTCTGAATCACCGGCCTCTGAAGCAGCTGACCGACAGGAGTTCCCGGAGCGGCCGTCGACTGTAACGCCAGCTCCTCTGCACCAGGGGGCTCGGAAGGCGGCTGAACCAAAGCGGGCTCCTCGTGGACGAGCTCCGCCTCCTCCTCGGGAATGGTGTCGGCCGCCGCGGAGCCAAGCTGTTGAAGGGAAGTGTCGTTGCCCTCCGTGAGCTCCTTGATTGCTGCTTCCCAGGCTCCCGCCGAAAGTTGTTCCAGGGACGAAGCCAAGCGAACATGCTCCAGGGCACACTTTGTCACCTGCGTTGCTCACCGCACTGTCGTCGGAACTGCGCTCAAGTGCCAAAACAATGGCAGGACCATGCCAGCGTCGAAGTTCCAAGCGCCTCCGCCGGCTCGATGTCGAAACTCGAGGGTCGCCTCGACGATTGGCCTTTTGGGCCCGCCAAAAGTAGACGGTGTCCCCTGCCTGAATCGGGCGCAGAATGGCCGGCTCCCGGCTTCGGGCCAACTCGGCTCGCCGAATGCCCTTGGAGTAGTGGAGGCGGACCATTCCAACACGAGCGCTCTCTCTCAAAGCCAGGCGCTGCTGCAAGGACGGCTCGGAGTCGATCAGGCCGTGCTCCGCCAATCGCCCAGCAAAGTTGTTCAGCACGGCGCCCTGAGAAGTAGGCTGGCGCCCGGTAACACACTGCAACGGAGACACCCCCTCCTCATTGATGTCCGCGTTGTAGGCCGCACACGCCTCCGCCACAACATTGGCCATGTCGCGGCTCCCGATGGTCACGTGCTCTGAGACAAGGGCCGCCACCAAAGTTTTCAAAACTCCCCCGGACCGCTCCGCCGGACTGTTCTGCCACGGGGCTTGTACAGCACAGTGCCAGAGGTGCGCCGAGTGGGCCGAACAAAAGTTCTGGAACTCTTCGCTCACGAACTCCCTGCCTTGATCGGCCACGACTTGACGGGGAGCTCCGAGAATCGGCCACCACAGTCGGAGCAAGAAGTCGATAACCGCCGCCGAGGACTTGTCGGGAATCAGCGCCGCCAACTGGTACTTAGACACAGAGTCAGTGGCGTGCGCGACAACGAAGGCCTCCCCGAGCGCATCCTCGACAATGAGGAGGTCCAAGTGGGCTCGCTCTCCAACAGCCCTCGGAGCAGGTAGGCTAGCGACTCTTCGAGCTTTAGGGCGGCTGCGTTCCAGGCACACGTCACAACGGAGCTCCCGGGCAGCTTGTACAGCAGCAGGCGGCGCTCCTGAAAGTAGAAGGGCCCGGGCAAGTCTTTTCGGAGGTCGGTGGCCAGTCGCTTCATGTACCCGACGAACCGCAGCTCGGATCGCCGGCGTGATCTCACCGACGAAGGGCTCCTCATTCTCATCCTCGGTCTCGCTTTCGCCCTCCAGCCCGGGTTCCTGGACCAAGGCTTCCTGCACAAAGTCGACGGCGCCACCCGCGCCCGACACCTCAAAGCATTCATTGGCACAGCTGGCGCTCTGTAGCCTGCAGGTCTCCGCGTCAAACTCGTCCTCCATCGCTGCGACCAGCCTCTCCGAGAAGTGCTTGGGGAAGGCGCGGACGTCCAGCTGCAACTTGGGAGGCTGGCCGTCGACACGGTCTCGTCGAAACTCGTGCACCACCGCCTGGCTCGACGTAACCAGCCTAGTCCAGGGCAGCCGCAGTCGCGTGCCATTGGTCATTTGGCTGCCGAAGCGCCCCAAGTCGAGCGAAAATTGACGGCAGCGAGGGTCCGCCGCGAGGGCACGAACACCAGGAAGACGCCAAAGGACGGAGCCCGGCGGGTGTTCGAGAACGAAGTGCCTCCCCCCCCCGAGCTGTAGTCTGGCAGCGCGCAAAGCAAAGCGAAGTTGCACAGCCAGCCTTTTGTGTTGCTGGCGCCGGTGGTCACGAGAAGGCGCGGCCGCAGAGGGAAACATCCAAGGTTCAGAGGGCACCGTCAGCATGATGAAGTAGGGCCGCTCCTGTTGAAGCTTCCGAAGTGCGGCTTGACGATGCTCAGGAAGAGAAAAATCCCAGCCGGCCTCGGACCCCAAGGCGGTGCCCGTAGTGTGCCCACGGGTGCGAGCACAACGGCCCACCGAGGTGTTAAAGCCCAGCACGTCGGCGGGATCTCTAGGACAAAGGTCTCGTTCATGCCCCGCCGGTAAGAGCCCAAGCGTTCAGCCGCCATCACATCTGCCACTCTTTTGGGGGAACATGAAATGAGAAGTTGCTCGCGCCGGTGTTTCTCCCAGGCCTGGTGGATCTGCTGTTTCACACCAGTCTTCAAAGGTCGTTGTTGAGCTCCAGGCACCCAGGTTGTTCCAGCCGAGGATCGGGGGGAGGTTCTTGAGTCAGCGACCAACCGTCCATGTCCTGATCCGGGGCTTCGGGCTGCGGGTTCATGCGGAGCTGCATGACATGCTGAAGCACCTGCGCGAACATCGCCTCGTGACGCACTCCGAGCTCCTGGAACCTCTGGTCCATGACCTGCATCAGGTGGGCGTTCAAGGTGGAGGCATTCAAAGTGTTCGGGTCGGCGGCCGGCGTTGTTGTAGTAGGCGTCCTTGCCGAAGGTGCCGAGGGCCCAGGTGACATACTCCCGAACGAGGTCAAAGTCGAGGGTCGCACCTCCACTGCCGAAGTCGGGGGGCTTATCAAGACAAAGTGCTCGGCAGAGCTCGCTGAGGATGTTGTCGAAGGCATCGGCACCTTGTTGCACAGGTCGTTCACGATCGGCCGAAGCTTGTTCCGAATGTCCTTGATCGTGTCCTTGTCGCCCACCGGGGTGTGCAGCAGGGCCGCCAACTTCACCAGGTCGCCCTTGAGCGTAGGCATCCCGCCCTTGGGCCCGACCAGTGCCCGAGCCACTTGCAACCGATCGGCTTCCTGGGCCAGCGTAGCCGCCTCCTCCTTGAGGGCCGCGTTCTTGATACGCGCCATGCGGCCGGGCATGTTCTTGGCCGCCAACATCCCACTGAGCACGGGGTGAGAAGGCGAACTTGAGTCCCACACGGCTGCGCAGCCAAGTCATTGAAGCCAACGTCGTCGAATTGAAAAGGCCTCGGCCCACCCATCGCCGAGGAAAACAAGCGCTGGCCACCATCCCATCCACCTGCAGCTTCCACTGCTCCACTGATGACACCGAGGGATAAGGAAAGGGCAACCAGCGCAGCTCGGGATGCTTTACGCACCACAGGCGCACACCTTCGCGGCTCCAGTCGAAACGCACAAGGGCCCGTAGCACCATCCGTCGCCACCTGCCGCCGACTCGTTGGTCGGGATCCAGGGCTTGCGGTGCTCGAGGGTCCATCCTCACGAAGGGCGCAGCCGAAGGTCTCGCCATGTTCCTCCGGAGAGGTCGTGGTGCATAACGTAGGCGGGGGCTTCGGATCAAAAGTCATCTCAGAGTTTTGGGCCGAGGTGCAAAGAACAGCATGAAAAGCCATCATTCCAAGCTCCAGGCTGGCTTCGGTCAGGTTGTGGTTGTGGGGCTCGTCTTCTGTTTGCTGAGGGGCAGCTTGAAGCAAATGAGCAGCCCACGCAGAACAGCCAATGTTACACTCGAGCACACCCCCGGGACCCAATTTTCGCCAGCGGCCTCGAGTCACTGTGGGCCACACATCCGGTATGAGTCCGAGGGCCAGGTGTCCAGCCATGAGGCGCTCCAAAGGCACAGGTGGCCGGCCCGCAAAAAGCTTGCATCGAAGGGTCTTCTGCCCGAAGTCAAGTACGCCCCCCAGGCCGTCAAGAAGATCACGCCCCAGCAAAAGGCCCAACGAGGCCACTGGCACACAGGACACCCATATGCCAACGAGGTTCCCGGCAATGACTGCAGGGAGGCGGTAACGAACACCACTCGGAAGGGTGGCCCCGTTCCCGAACTTGAAGCTTTCTCGCTCCTCGACAGAGAGAACCAGATCGCGAACCTCGTCCGGGGCCTTCTTAAGCTCCTCGAAGTAGCCCTGAACCCAATCTTCTCCAGCACAAGTCCGGTTACAGGCTGAATCCAAGGCACCGACCAGGGCCTTGTCCTGTGAAAGCACGTTTGCCGCCAGAGCCTCCGAAGCCGAAGTCGCCGTCGAGGACCGCAGGGCCGCCGAGAGCGACATCACCATGTGCACCTCGTCTCCGCCTTGCCGGCAAGGGCCTCGACCTCGGCAACGGCGTGGGCAGTTGTCTCCGCCTCGGTCACGCGAACTTGCTTAGGCGCAGCCTTGTTCTTAGCACGGCCAAGCCCGGCGCCCGGTTTGGTACATTCCGGGTCCCCGCTCCAGTGCCCAGGCAGGCCGCAGTCGAAACAAAGGTGTTTGCCCGAGGCCTTCTTGGCCGCGATCGCCGCCTTCCCTCGTCCTTTTCCGGAGGCAGCCGAAGAGGTTCCAACGGAGGGCCCCTTGTATCCACGGTCTTTTCGGACCTCGGCAAGCTTCACCCTGGCCTCGCGCATGCTGACCAGAGCCTCCGCCGACGCCTCGATCTCCGTTTCCAGGGCCTCGCAAAAGGCCGGGTCGATGCCCTCCTCCTCGGCCTGGGCGATCTCATCCGCCAAGCACTGCACCTCGGTCTGAAGAACCTCTTCCAGCGACGGGTTGTCGCCGGCCTGCTCTTCGAGCTCCGGTTCCTCGCCCTCCAGGGCCTCCTGACTTTCGGCCTCGGCGGCCTGCACCTGTCTCGGGGCAAACCTTCGCGAAGAAGCTGCCGACCCAGCCGAAGTCATAGTCGAGGATCGACGGGAAGACGCCGTCGAGGGAGCCGAGGTAGCGGCCGAAGAAGGGGCAGTGCCGCCGAAGATCCGCTTGATCGTCATGCGGCCGCTGCCTTTCTCCATCCTGCGGAAGAGAGGGTCCTGCAGGTGCAGATCACGGAAAAGCCGCAGGCATTCCCCTTCGATGGTGCCGTAGGCTTCGGCACCCTGAAGAGCTGTATCCAAGAGCTGGCGCCGCAAAGCATCGAGCCCAAGCTTCTCCTTGAAAAACCAGCCCACCTCGGAGTCCGGAAGCTTCACCCCTTCGGTCTTCATGTCGGAGATCACAGTACGGAACCGGGTGGCATAGTCCGCAACCCTCTCGCCAGGCCGCCTGGCCATGTGAAGATAGAATTGCGTCCTCAGTTCGCCTCTCCTGTCTAAGACCGACTGTCCATTCAAGTTCTCCAAAGCCTGCAGAAGTTTTAAGCCAGCCAAGAGGTCCTCCTCGATGATGGTCACCTCCTCGCCGGTCTCCGGATCCGGGGCGGTCACGGCTTTCTGGTATTCCAATTCTTCGGGAGAAAACTCTTCCCCCCGCTGCTTCACGGTGCCGCTTTGTCGCATGAGGAAGCGGGCCGCTAAGTTGAACTTCCGGGTGGATTCCAGGTCCAAAGAGCTTATCCACCAGGACATTTCCCTCTTAAAGGCCCGCCATGTCAAAGGAGAGCCGTCCCAGGTAGGACACCGGCTCCAGACGCCTCCATAGTCGCCGCCCGAATCAGCCATCGCACAAAAGGTCAAATTCCCAGCCCCGATTTAGGGCACGGCTTGCAGAAGTGATACTCGCCCGCCAGGTCCTTTCCAGATCTCGGCACCAGTCAAAGTTGGGCTGCCAACCTAGAAGGGGTCGAGGATCAGGTAAAAGAGCCGGAGGGCGCGAAGCAGGTACACGGAGTCGCGCACGTAGGTCCACAGCTGCGAGAACTCAGGCTCCGCTACCACTGTAGAAGGTAGCTGATGCCTCTATGCAAGAGGTATCACGGCCGACGCTCCTTTTCCATGCCGCAGCAGCAGTGAGGCTGAAGGCCTATGGTTTGAGAGGCATATTACGGAGCACAGCTAAGCATCGATGCCACACGCGGGTTTCTACAAGTCTCGCCTCTCCTCGAAATGCCTCATCCCACCGCTCCTTACAGTAGTCCCTTGGCATGACAAAGACATTTGGCGACAGCACTTCTCCTCCCACTAAGGCAAGCACGCTCCGGGCATAGCCGGAAAGATCTCCAGCGCTGCCTGGCACAAAACTTCCTACTTCGCGGCTTGCTGGATGTTTGCTTCTGGCTCTCACAGAAGCACTGGAGATATCCGAGGCTCTCAAGACATGCTACGCTGCTACACAAGGCGCAGTTCAAAAACATGCAGCTTGTCTGAGTAGCGTGTCTCATCTCTTTTGTTTCCGGGGGGGGGACCTCAACTTCGAAATAGTCAGGGTTTCCAGAGGTGGGGCGACTTGCCCCCATCGTATCCGAGCTTTTCAGCACTTCTCAAGCCTCCCAACATTCTCGTGCTTTCTGCTTCTCATCCAGCTCGTAGTAGCCTCCGCGCCATGGAGAACTAATCTGACAGAGGTCAGCGTTGTTGAAAAACCCTCAGCAAGATAGGGCGTCGAATGCTCGGAATCAAGCTGCATGTTCGGTTCTTGTGGCGATTTCTGTCATGCCCCGGCGCATCTCATCATGACATGAACTTACCTTAGGAGCGCATGGTGGGCCGGAATAAAGCGTTGTGCTTATCCAGCATAAAACGTTGTGCTTATCCATTTAAGCAGTTAGTACAGTAGATGCTACACATGTGAAGCAATACCGGTCGAATATAACCTTAAAAGCCTTAGCTCGTAGGGGTAGCCTAATTGCAACTATGGCCCCAAGCTTAGTTCTTCACTTCAGTCTATCCTGAGTTCGAGAAATTATACGGCTTGGCATGTCACATCGATTCGTGAAGCGACTCATGGATTCGCACATGTGCTTCACCCGTTGCCCTAAACTCCCCAAGAACTTCAGATGAAAAGCCGACAAAGCCTTAACTTCGGGCCTGAATCCTCGAAAAAAACATACTCGTCATTCCAAAGCCCGAAACCCCAAAAGCCCCAAGCTCGAGAACGCTGCAAGTAGCCCTCTTGAATCGCCATCCTTTGGATCGGGATTGTGCTCGAATCGCCCGTGACCCCCTAGCAGCTAAGCACCGTGCAACTGCCCATGCCCGTCAAGCACCTGGCCGGTGCGACCCGCAAGTGCAGCGAACGCGGAAGCGCAAGAGATCTCGATGTACGCCCGAAATTCTGCAACGCGGTCTGGAGAGACAGGTTCCTACTAGATAGACATCACCAGTTACCGGCATGTCATATACTGCTGGAGACGCTGGAGAGTGTAATACATACACACAGAGACAAAGGGATAGGGCACAAACAGCCGCAAGCATGCTTGCACAATCGTCAGCGCACGCATGAAACCAACTCCGCCAGAATCTCAACATGGGAGCCGGCAGAGGACGGAGTAACATCAGGCTGCCTTCGCAAGGTTCAGCGAGACTCGATTCTGCTGGACCGCCAGGACAGCAACGACAACAACAACTACGATGACGACGACGACGACGAGGCGACCACCACCAACAAGAAGAAGGACTACTACTCCTCCTTCTGCTGCAGCTGCTACTGCTGCCTCTACTGCTACTGCTACAATAACTGGAAAAGTTGAGCTAAGCCATGCCCAGCAGCTGCCAACCCGACATTAGGGGCACAACATGCCCCACAACACCGGTAGCACTGCTCAACATGCCTGAGATCTGACAACCTGAACAAGCGGACTGCAACCGTCCCGGCGCACCAGTAGTGCCGCGGCTGAAGTTTGAGAGCCTGCGGGCAGCTGCCCAGGATGGAATTCGGCTTTCGAGCACGCAGACTTTTCGCCCTCACGTCCTCGTAAACACTGCATGTGACTGCACTACAGATGGCTGGAAATGTGTATTAGTCCCTCCCTCTTTTCTTGGGAAGGCAAAACCCAGCCTGCCGGCAATCCTCCACAGCCTTCTCGAACTCCTTTTGTGCTAGATGTTGCAGCTTAGGATTTAGGATCATTCAGGCCATCTGCCCGAACCCAGCTATGAAAAATAGCATCCAGGCAGAGCGACGTGGCGATGCTTCGACACTCTACGCATGACTCGGGCTTTAGGACAAAGCGGGCAGGTTCCTCAACAGTAACAGGCCATCACTTCGCAAACCAGCTCGCCAAGACCCCAAACGAGACTTGGCGGCTCCTGTTTCGCATAGTGAGCAATGGAGAGCTTGTGCCAGCCCTCCGCGAAGTTGGGCGCCATCTCCGTCACCTCGGCGATCCAGGAGCCTTCAACATAGCCAATGTAGTATAACATAATCTTGTATATGTATATGTATATATGATGAAATCATGGAGTTTAACAGAATGCACGACAGCGTAATATACTGGAGAAGAATTGAGTTTAAGAGAATACAATAGAGTAGAATAGATTGGAAGCATCCCTTGCTTTGTCATTGCAGACAACCGCTCGAAGTCCTAGAATTCCGTGAGATCGACAGGGCACGCGCGTGAAGCTTTCTACGGCCTCATCCGCCTGGCAGAAGTTGCGAATACTTCTGCATGCTACAACCGGTTCTATCACGTGTGCCAGAGGCCCAAGCCCATGCAGACTTCGCTAGGCCCCTATCGCACCGAACAAAGCTGAACCAAGCCACGCGTCTCGTGCCCAATCTGGTTCGTCCTGTTAACACCTTTCCTTCCTCAAGCCGACCCGTGCATGTGAACGGGCATGCCTGGTCAACCGGCCTACACCTTGGAGCACAGCATCCCCACCCAAAAAACAACACTCCGCAAGGCAGCTCGACCCCTGATGCCTTGTCGCAGAACGGACGCACAGCTTCGGTCAATTGCCCTGCAGCCTTCTGGTCGTCCAGCAGCTCAATTCCTCGAGCCATCTCTGCATTCACCTGAACAGGTTCCACACTCGGGCACTCCTTGTCAGCATCGAGAACTCGGCTCGCACAGTCTCAGAGGTGGAGTTAGGAGTCGATCTCTTACCTACTGGTGGTTCATGTAAGGGGACACCAAGTAGTTGCGGTTGGTGAAGCCAGGCATGTGCTGCTGTTAAGCACCTGCCGTTAACTCGATGGTTTCACATGGGAACGTGCAGCTGAGGCGGGACCTTGACTTCGATTCTTCGACGCTCCAAACCTCGAAACGCGTCCCAAGCCCCAACACCTCCGGATCGCAAGTGGCCACAGTGACAGCGTCCCACTTCCCCTTCCCGCAGTTTTCCAGAGGTGGCCTTGGCATCTCCGGAGTCCTCCCAGCAAGCGCGCAGGGCATCCTCGGCGCTGCTCTGGAGATCTCCTGCCAAGATGACAGATAACCCAAGATCAACGATTTCTCGCAAGCACAGCTCGTGTCCAAGGGAACTTCAAGTCGAGACTTCTGGACCTACGCCCCCTCGGCGGTCGGTTGAGATCCTGAGCAGATTTTCCGGCGGAATCCCAAGTGCGCAGAGTCCCTCGAATACTAACCCCAGCCTGCTCCCGTAGCTCCCCTGACCCAACAGGCGTAGCCTTCCGTTTGCTTGGCGGTGGCCAAAAGCACGGAGTACAGGGCGTCTTCCTGGGCACGGCTGGACATCAGCAAAAGCACGGGACCCTCGCAGGGAGACCCAAACTGCCCCTTCTTCCGGAGCTCAAGCGTTGCAGCCCGAGTGCAGGAGCATGCTTATACTGATACTGGTTATTACTGGTTACCGTGTTCATCGCATCGGATTGAAAGCTTCAGGCCGGGATCCACTTCCAGTCACACTTTGCACAGCCTCATGCCGAAAGGCCGAGCACAAACCCCCTACCCCCCAACATCTGTTAACCTTCCTTTATGCCAGAGCTCTGCTTGGGGTACAGCGACGGGAGGCGTGGCAAGCCTGGCTGGTAGCTGCGAAGCATTCGGGGGTTCTTGGATAGTGCCCGCCCCTGTTCCCAGGAACCAGATTGGGGTCCTACCTTTTTTTTTTTAGTCACAAACCCGGGTGTCTTGTTCGGACCCTGTCGCCGCGGTTCTGTTTCAACTCTCAAGGCCTCACATACGACCACCCTCATCGCAGCCCTGCTTGAAACAGCCATGCCAAGGTTGTCGCATCCCAGAATGGTGCCGAGGGTGTCAACTCTTTCACTCGGCACACAGGTTAAATCACCACGGGGCTTCTCTGCCTGGTCTATCTCGCAGTCCGTACGAACTGGAGTGGGGTCTGGACCGCACATGCGAAACAGCACCGCGCCAAACAGTTACGTGCAGACATTTGCTAACGAGACCAGAAGGACCAGGCTTTCGTATCAGCTCATCCGCGCTCCCTAAACACAGCTCGGAACCTCGACCTAGAACCAAGCTACTCCAATTAAGGTTCCATGCATCCTACATACACTCTATTACTCCAGGTGAGACGGGCTCAAACTCAGAGGGCCTAGACCCGACACTGTACACGTATGATGCTAAGCCACTAAGCCTTGAAGCCTCCGCTTACAAGCTGTGGATGCCACAGTAGCTCCTTGTTCCTGATGCTTCTTCGAGCCTCTGCAGAGTTCCTATGGCGTCCAGGCGAGACCAGCCTGAGTTGGACTTCCCCAAATCCCAGAGCAAGCGCTGATGCTTGGCAGAGGCACTCAACGTGCGCATCTAAGCTGAGCTACGTTCTCGAAAGGCGTGACATCAACTTCCATGGCACGAAGTACCTAATGCTCGAAGTATTCTGAAATACCATCAGGACCGGGAAATCCAACATAATCCAACCTACAGGCGACAACGTGAGCCGTTTGCTGGAACAAGACCATCGAAACTTTGTTGCCTGCAACTGAAACCCACCAATCCTGAGGAACCCTGAACGGCCTAGCCCGAATACCCAGACCCCATGCTTGCTGCAACCTGAGCTGGGACATGATTGACCCTACGACAGAAACGGGCGGAATGCAAGACCCTAACCCGAAGCTATGAAGCGCCGTAGAGCTGCAAGCCGCCAACCCGCGGAACCCAAAGCCACCACCAAATGCAACCCGAAACATCCCGCAGGCTCCAAGCGCCAGTCTACAGTTTGCAAGCCCAAAACCATCTAAGCACAGCTGGGCTTCTTTCGCGCGTAGGGTTCAGCGCCACGGCTTTGGCCCAGCGCACTGTGCGTCGCCGGCCTTTGCCCAAAGTCTCCTACGCTCTCGCAGAGTCCATCCTACCCCAAACGACCAGTTTTGGGTGCAGGGCACCGAGATCGACTCGATGACACCCATGTTTCGTAATAAAGCCAAAGCTCTCCAATCAGCCTACAGACTGTAACAGCATATGCTCAGGTGCAGCCACTTATCCGGACCAATCGACGCAGCATAAGCCAAGGCACTCATCATCGAAGACGAGGCCTGCCTGGCAGGGCTCCAAAGGCCACAAAAAAAGCAGACATCCTCGGTCTTGGAACCGAAATTCTGAGGCTCCTTGGATCGAACCCCGATGGAGTCTTGTAACCTTAGGGCCAACAAATGCATCCTGGAGGCACACTGGAAGACTCCGTAGCAGAGCCTGCCTGAGGGGTGTGGCACAACATTGGACTCCACTAGACCTTCCCTAAAGGGCAACAAGCAAAGCAAGGGATATCCGGGTTTGAGGTTCCCATTGGAAGATCCAATTCTGGCAGTTCAAGCAGTGATTGGCTGTCTTCGCAGCATGCAGGTCGCAAGAAGCATGGTCTCTGTTCGACGCCCTGAACCAGTCAGTGCCAGTGGGAAATCCAGGCATGCATGCGCAGCCTTACTCCATCTCTAGATTATTCCCAGGTCGCGATAAACTTGAACAAGAGCCGACCCCGCTACCTGCTACCCTTCATTGCATGTGTACACATGTTTATGTGTGTGTGTGTGTGCGTATGTGTGTATGTATGTATATATATATATATATGTGTGTGTGTGTGTGCGTATAGCACTTTGAAGATGTGTATGTATGCGTGGATGCCCGTGGATATGTCTGTACGTATACATGCATCGACCGAAGCACGTATGCGGCTTTTATGCATATGTGTGTGCGTCTGTGTGATCCTGCGTGCAAAGGGTTGGCTTTCATTTGTGTTTGCAGTCAGTGCGTTTCAACCACACAGCCAACAGCTTGCGGGTACAGACGGAGTTGACTAAACATCGGTTGATGCCACATGCACTGGCCCCCCAAACTCCATAACTAAGATTCTGGTCTAAGACACAGTATTCTCCTGAAAGCGCTGGATTTGAGGACACCGGGAGACCCGAAAAGCCGATCCAACAGCCTTCCCAGCCACTGAACTCCGAAGGCTCTGTGATAGCCAACATGCCTCACAACACCGGCCTCAGCTGCACCCAGCGCCGCTTCGACATCCGAGGCGGCGGCCCCGGACCTGGGCCGAGGTCGAAACAAAATACCTATCCTACAAGGTCCTACAACACACATATACTCCTCTGGTGCATGTGGACCTGCATTCGTACTTTCACGTCTGTCATTTCTTGGCTTCGAACTGTGGGCGCGCACACATGCAAATACCGTTCGTCTCCAGGTATGTCCGCTGGGGAACTGGGCGATTCCGCACCAAGTGTAGAGACGAGGTCCCAACATGCACTCCGGCGAAACAGATGACACTAGTGCAGCAATCAGTAGGTTGATGCCGTTGAGCAGCATCCCATTGACCAGCAAACCCTCGACAGTTTGCTTGCTTTCGCTCAACCTAGGGCCCAAGCTGCATCAGGGCCTCCTTCACATCGTCAGGCATGATCCATGCCGAACGAAGGAGGTGGTAGTGGAGGTTCCTGGGCTCCACAGATCATGAGGTCGTAGCGTGCATGCCCACGTTGGGCCCGTCTCGAATTTTGCCGCTGGGGCTGCTGATACAGTTGATAGTTCTAATTTCGGCGTCTCAGCTGACAATAAATTTGCATCGGAGTGCAGAAGGGTGCAGAAGCCATCGGCTGTCTCTCTGCCTATCTGTTTATCTGCCTGTCTATCTACCTATTTACCCACCTATCTACCCATATGCCGCTATCCTGATCATGTTTGTTATACAGGCATGGGAAACACTACACTGAATGTATGCCCAATGCCGGGTGCCCTTCTGAATCTCCGGACATGTAAACGGAAAGGCTTCAAAGGAAACCAAGCGTCACTCCGAAGCGCAGCTCCTTTGTCTGCTTTGCTTTGTTCGCAGGGATAGCATGCACGGTGCCCGCAACAATGCTGTCCAGATCTGCAGAAAAGACCATGTTGTACACCCACTTCCTTCACTGCTTGGGACAAGCCTTATAAACAGTAGACAAGAAGCACGTGCGGCCCTGGATATTAGTCATGGCTTTCATGATAAGTCAAGTGACTCGTCCCCTTGCCAGGAGCTTGGAGACCAGTCAATGACTCCTCGAAAACAGCGGGTTCCTGGGTCGTAGGCAACCTCTTCGAAGTACTTCTTCGCGGGGGGCTGGCTGCCGTCGTCCAGCTTCGGGAAGGTGTTGTTGTTCGCCCTCTCGTAGGAGATGTAGCACTCACCCGGATGGTGAAAATGGTACGAGGCAAAGCCCAGACCTCCACCAGTTTGGACGTAGACCTGTCCTCGTGTGGATGTGAATTTGGACGCTTCAGGTTTTTTAGCCATGCGATCATCTGACCACAGTAGACACGTCTAAACACAATGTTCTCTCTCGCTCGCGAGATTCCCCAGATCGTCTCGAGTGCAGGATGTTCTCTGCCACCAGTATGCATTCGCGAAAGGTCGCGGTCTGCGAACGTCTGCACCGTTGCAATGTACCTCGGTTCGGCGTGCTCTTCAACAGGAAGACAGGCCAAACTTTCAGAGACATTGACCGATTGACCAGATTTTCGCGGGCCCATGACAAACCAACCAACGACAGACTATGCCGGATTCAGCACGCTAAGCTGGAGAATCCGCTTGATTCGCTGCAGAGATCTCTGCAGCAGCTTCTTTTGCTTCAGCCCAGGCTCCTCACGCCTACAAGGTCTGCCTCGCACCCTCACCAGACACGCTTGTGGGTGCTCTCCGGATCAAGGAGTCCGGCGATTAGACATGCATAGGAGCAGAAGCGAAACAGCACGAATCGCCCATCCTGCGACCAATCCCCCGTAAATCTGTTGGATGAATTTCGAGATGAGTGGCAGAGGGTCGCTCCCTTCCTTGACCACTTCGCTACGGATGGAGAGTATCCGAAAACCTTGGCTCTCTGCACAAGCCATGCGAGGTGAGTTGAGGTGTCATCCGTTCGTTTATCCTCCACCACGATCATCATCACCATCCTCACCAGCATCATCACTAATTATCATCTGTCCGCCGCGTTGTTGTCATTATCACGATTTTCACTATTTTTACTATCATGGTCACTGCTGCGAGTCTTGTCATTGCAGTTTCTACTACCATGAGCATCCCCACCGTCCTGATCGGTTACAACAGATACTGGAAGAAATTACTATTGCAGTTCCGGTGAGTTGGATCCTACACCTGCTACTTGCCAACAACAACTCGGCAAGCATTGAGTTCACAATGTTGAACACTATTATTAATAGGGCATATATAACTTCAATCATCGAAGCCTCAAAATGAAACCTTCCGGCCAGCGGCGGTCGAGTGCTCGCGCCTGCAGGACGACCGGGCCCGACTTGCGGGAACCCACCCATCGGAAGCCACGGCCGTTCAGCAGGACCCCTGAGCAATGAAGAATAGTACAGTACATAGTATAGTATTTTGTATCGTATTATAGTATTAGTACTAGTAATAGTATTATAGTACAGTAAGTATCTGGGAGAAGCTTCGGCTGTGGCAGGCTTCTGCAAGAGGTACTCACAACGCCGTGCACAAACTGGGCCCGTTGTTGCTTCAATGCTTCGGCAAAACCTAAACGTCGAACGAGCTCTCACACTCGCCTGCCACACTGCTACACTCGCACTTAGAATGAAATTCATAAACAATTACAAGGCACACACAAGGCCGTGCAATGATCCACCCGACCGACATGTTGGTTTCTTCATTGCAGCATATTGCATCTCGCCGCGCCACAAAACAAACATGTGGTTTAAACGTGTTTGCTGACAATCTAGGGCGCACCCCAGCCTCGCCCACGAACGCGCCGGTGCGAAACTGCAGTGTAGCCGAAATGAGGGCTCTTCCCGGACTCCAGTCGCCGCACCAGCTCCACCTCAGCACAAATGGTGAGTGATCCAATCCGTACTGAGGCCAGCATGCGGTAAGTGATACCTCAACGGCAGCCGAAGGCAAGCTGCGTAGCGGTCCTCGAACATGTTCAGTGCGAGTTCCTTGGGCGGAAGAGACTGGAATCGTAGAAACTTTCCAAGTCCACTAAGACGCTGCCAGGGCTTCGAATCTTCGGTTCCCTTTCCTCCGGCCTTTTGCATCTCAGGCACTCCAGAAGGCTGCCCGATCTCCGGGAACGGCTGCCGCAAGCTGAAGAGCGGCAGCTCCTGAAGGTCTCAAGTGGGAGTTTCCTAAAATAATAATAAGGGGTACCGTATTTTGGGGTCCTAACAANNGATCCCACTATTTAGGGTGCTATATTCGGAAACCCCCAAGTGTTTCGTGGCAAGGCCGAAGTCTCATACGGCCGCGCGGGCTTCTGGATGGAAGCAAAGGACAGAAAGCGCTTTCGGCCAAAACTCGTTGTTCATCTTACGGCCTGGACTTTTGGATTTCCAAGCCTCCTCCACTTGGCATCCTCCTACAATCAAGAAAACACATGTCCGAAGCCCAGTCTAGAGCATTGCTTGGACCATCACACCCGACCATCCCTTCGACACTCCTTGATGCGAAGAGCACGGCGGGCAATGCGCGCCATGTTGCATTCTCTTTTGCAAGACCGCCTTTTGCTGCAGGGGTTTGGATATCATAAGGACACGCACCATCTGACGTCGGCCGTACTTCATATGCTTCGCCGCCATGCAGGCGGATTGCACCGTCTTCACAAGCTTCGGGTTGAAGCTGTTGAGGGGTTTGTCGCTTAGGGTTGTGATGGTCTGGAGTGGGCTCGAAGAACATGGTGAATCCATGCTTTGTGGCTGCAACGAACCCGCACGGCGCAAGGCTGCAACGATCAAAGGGCTGAGGAAGTGCGCGCTGCTCAGCAGGCTCTGGGCATCTGAAACATTCATGCTGCGGTTGTCCCTCGTTAGTTTCGCCTTCCGTGCCCTATCCTCGGCCCCGAGACATGTCCTGTCCATGGCTCCGGTGCGGATTCTCAGCCAGCTCAAGAAGAAGACTCAGCTTTCAGGGCTCGGAGAATATGCGTGGAATCGAGGCTTCCTTGGCGACCTTGCTTTTGGGCCACGCCCGCACGAATCAGCCGCGTCTGGGTCCTGACAACGTCCAATGAATTAATGCCAGGATCCTGGAGGTGCACAGGAACCATGCAGCAGTCATGCTCGGCACGAGAAAAATGTGTGTGTGTGTGTGTGTGNNGGGGGGGGGGGAATGAAGCAAAGGCCTTTGTACACACGTTCATTGGCGTGCTGGTATTGTTTGCAACACTTGCCGCTTGAAACCATGAGGTCTCCTTGCCGAGTGCACGGGGCATCAGGCATCGAACGGAACAGGATGGCTCTCGGAAATGGACCATTTGGGCCAATTTCCTGCCGACACCAAGTGCAACCACGGTGCGGTCACTCTGTCGGGCATTTCTCTCTTCGCATCCCTTTTGAATTTCATGGGTGCACCTGCTATGGAGTGAAGACATGCAGTCAGGTCCGGGCTCCGTGCAACCAGAAATGCCCTTGCATCACCTTCCAAACGGACGGCCTTCTCTGCGAAGGATCTTGGCTGAAGACGGACTGCCTCAACCCCTTACATGAGGCTCTGACTAAGGCCCGACAAAGATTGAGGGTCCTTGCTAGCTGCTAGCATCTGCTAGCCTGTGCCGGTTCCACACGGGCGAAGCTCAAGCCTTGGGCTGGCGCTTCGCCCATACCTCACCATCGTCCCAGAGTAAAGTCCCCAGGCTCGCAGAGATTTCCGCGGTGTAGACACGGCCACCCAAACTGAGGCAGACCTCTCAAGACTCATGCTGACTGCGCTTCAGCTCTACGCAAGAAGACCCGAAGAAGCCCTGCCTCCCGGGTGCCCGTGATGGAGAGCTCGGAGGGGTCCGAGCGAAACTCGTCCGCCCAGTGCACGAGGTTGGATTGGATGCTCGCCTCCAGGCAAGAGCTTTTCTAATCTTGCCTGGCCTGGCCTAACATCCCGGCTGCCCGTCAGGGCATGTGAGCTCTCAAGCATTCCAGCGTGTCTCGTGGCATGTGCTGGCTCTCGGGTCTCATCTGGCTACTATGAAAAATAACAAAACCCTATGGATGTTGAGGGTATGTAGATGCAGACTCATGATGCAGATCTCCCGCGATTGGTAATCGGCACACTGACGAGGCACGCGTTGCATGTATCCTCCTACATCACCGTGTGCCGATCAGAAGAACCTCACGCAAGACTACGACTTTACTTGATAAGCCATCCGAAAAAAACATGAAAAGCAGGGTCTTGACATCCCATCAACATCGAACTCTGGAAACAACAACACTCCTCGCATCCTTCAACTGCCGGCAGCTCAGGCAGCCGCCATGTACTTCCCGTCTTGCTCCCGGACATACACGCCCTCCAACCTCATCGAAAGATTAGCAGACCGGCACGCGGGCCATGATCCGGCTAGGCATGCCTCGAGAGGATCTGTCCGACCACCCCAACCCTGAGACTGTATATGCTGCAACTCACCCCCAGTTGCACGGTTCCCCAAACACAGGCCAAGAGATTCAGCAATGAGGAAGCAAGGAAGCAGCACTCCCCTTCAAAAGTCCTTCAAGGGCCCGGCTGCTCCCAAAAAGTCACTTCACCGACAGCCGCACCGTTCACTGCGCCGTCCATGTGCGTTCCTAAGACCTCGGGCCAAGACATGGCGATAAAACACGCCGACTGCCGACTCTGGCCCTCAAATCCCAAATCGGTGAAGGCAATTCAGTATGGAGCAAAGCCGGCAACTCGGATTCGACTCACGGCTCGCATTTGCTGGGGAGCGGACCAAGGAGTCCTCAGCTGAGTGGGAACTCGGGGGGGTTGAGGCGAGGCTGGGAGAGGCGCTGGCCTTCTTTCTCTTCCAGGCGAGGCTTCAGCCCTAGCAGCCCTTTCGCTCATGCAGCCAAAGGTCTGCCGTCGACGCGATGCCGCCAGGCGTCAGCGAGGACACGGCCACGAGCCTGTAGCGGAGCGCGGCCGGGCAGGAAACCGACTCCATCAGAACACAACCAACTCACTCTTGCAGCCACACGCCGCAAAGTCACCCGCTTCCTCACAAAGTAAGCGCGAGGTACCGACTCCAACCCTCCAAATCCGTAGGCTGCAACATGCCGCGACCGAGCGTCCTCTCATCATCCGTCTTCTCGCAGCAGCATGCCGTCTGCCCCATTGCGGGCAGCAGCAACTCAGGCCACTGGACAAGCTTGTGATACTCCTTCGGCTCCTTCGTTCTTCTGTCTTCCCAAAAGCCCCACGTAGCTTGCATGTAAGGTGCTTGCAGGACCAAGGCGTGTTGCAAAGTTGCCCCGCCCTTGTTCCGATCCTCGTCGCTAAGGACTGTGGACAGCTGCGACGAAAACTGTCAAGTCAACCATGCTAAGGCCATCCGCTTCGCGAAACAACACAATCATCCACAGGATCGCAGTATGCATCCTGCTTTTGACCGTCGGATTCTCGTAGACAGACTCTGCCCCGCCTGCACGATAGTCACCTTGGCTGGCTGAGGTTCCGCTGTCTGAAATGAATCTTCTTCGCTCTGACGCTCCTAGGCGTGAGCATGAGTGCGTCACAGTCTCCGGGGATGATAGCCCTAAAACACGCAACCAAAAACAGACGTAGCCTGAAATCGAAGCGAGCCTGCCTTTCCTACCCTGACCAAGTCCCATTCAAGCCAGCCTGACCTTATCGGCCGCACCTCATTCAATCCGACCCTAGCCTTTAATTTTTGTCACATTGTCCGGAACAGCCGACCCCACCCTCCCATTCTCCATCATGCTCAAGTCAAGGCACAGAACACCTGCAATCGCAGCTGCGGCACAAGCTGCAAGAGCTGGCGCATAGACCGTACCTGGCTCGCAAGCGAAGCTTTACACACTTGATCTGGTGATGCAGCTGCAAAGCACTCTTCACAGCGAAATCAACTCAATCGTACACCTGTCCTAAGTTTGCTATTGCCTCTCACTGTCCAATCATACGAGGCCACAAGCAAACTTCAAGGGACGGAAAGCGTTTCTTATTTGGCTAGCATTTTAGATGCGCTTGAACATCCCAAAACCAATCCAAACACTCATAAACTTCCAGGCATTTTCCCGTAGTCCCGGTTTTGCTTGGCACATAGACACTGGATGTTTCTGGTGCGCAGGGCAACCCTGAGCTCGCAGGAAATCTGGATGTTGGAAGGCGACGCTTTCAGTTCGACCCTGACTGCTCTCACTACCCGGAGGAGTGGCGCATCCGTGCAATGCTCTAAATCGCAGTCAGGATCAGGGTTTCCATTGTTTGCAAGACTGATGGAAGGGGCTTTTGCTTTGTCCTCTGCACGGGGCACGCAGGAGAGGCACGACGAGCCAGAGGTCCAAAGAAGTACGTCACCAGACCTCGTCCGCACTTTGGCTTACAGGATCATTCAGGCAGGGGGTTCGATTCTGTCTAAATCTCGGTGCTGTTTTGACACTCACACTCGGACAAGCCTGGCAAGGCCTGCAGTGCAGCAATACTGGTTCGGGCGACTCATTCTCGCGAGAGGGTCATGCAACCCTCGGGTTGACTCTTCCGGCTTGTCTGTAGCACTCCCTACACGTTGAATGAGAGACTTTGTACAGGATCAAATTTTTATGGAACACATCCAGGGCAGATGCGTACACAACTTCATCGATGTCATCATGCCAGCCCATGAGATCCGATGTGTTGTAATCTGCATGCGCAGTTTTGCCGGCAGAACTGGGGTTTGAATCGTCAAAGTCAGAAGCCAAGCATGGTCCACCAAACATCTTGTGAAACAAGCAGATGGACAAGTCCCACATCTCCGTGATACCAACAAAAGCAAACCCCTCTTGGACTCTCTGCGCTGCGACCGCTGCATCCTCGCGGGTAAGACTTGTGAAGTTGGGTTGCATCGAGGGTGCGAATTGGTATTCTGACACCAGCTGGTATGTCATGCCGCCTCCAACGCTCTCCGCCGTTTCCTGAAGAGTTCGCGGCTTTGGTGGCGGGATCCTATGAACCCCACACGGATGAAGCTGCAGGGTGTCGGCCTGAAAGTGATAAGCTGAAAGTATTCGCTGATCAGGATCTCGAAAAAAACCCACCATGCGACCACGCTTTGCTGTGTAGTTGCCAACTATCTCGTGCTGGCTTACACTGCACGAGAACTTGTGCTGGTTGCAGACGTTCTGGCAGCGGGGCCAGAAAGTTTCCTCAAAGCAGTCGCCGCCCAGGGTGACATTCGCCAAACTCGGGCAAAACCCTGGCAGGTGCACGATCGCATTGATGAACGAGCCGCCGCATTTGGGGAAGTGGATCCACGTCAACGGCTCGGCCTCGCTTGGGCCTTGAAGAACAATCTTGTGCTGTAGCAGGGAGGTGGACTCAGTGGACTCCAAGCCGTGCGCAGCGAGGACCAGGGCAACAGAAAGCCATAAAGCCATTTCTCTGAACCCACACTCAGCCATAAACCCTAAACCCTTATGTATGTCACGAGGGAGTCCAGCCGAGAGACTGGGCTCCAACGGTTCGGTTGCAGAAATCTTGAGCCAAAATGGCCACGGATCTCGGTGCCTTGAGGGTGTGATGCTGCGCTAACTTCCAGTTTGTGGGAGTTGGTGTTGGGCGTGCGTCTCATGTTCAGGAGCTTGTGAAAATCTGGGCTGCCACATGTTGCTCGCCGTCTACTTGCTTCAGGCATGCGCTTGTAGGCTCCAGACTGCCTTTCAAAACATGCAGAGCCTTCAGCCGCCTTCAGCCGCCTTGCCAGCTGAGGGGACGGCACTCTCTCGAACTCGGCCTGACAACTCCCCAAGTCCCCAAGCAGCTCGGAGCAACTGGCGGCCTTGACACTGCCCGGCGTCCCGGCGTCAGCTGACTTAGCATCTTGCGCGGTTTCACAGCCTCATGCCTTCGATGGGCGCCTAGAAGCCAAAAGTTGGCGGGCTATCGGGCCTGCTTCATGCCGGCGTCGTCCAGGAGGTCGCAGATGTGCGACAGGGCTTGGAACTCTGCACACAAACTCCTGGCAACTCCGACTGAACCTCCGCTGGGAGCCCCTGATTGCACCAAACCCTACAGTGCCCTACAGGAACCGTCCTGTCAACCAACTCGCTGATGGGCAGCGCCCACGGTCGCAGCAGGCCAGATCTGCCTGAAGGCACCATCTGCAGCACCAACACTCTTCCGACTATCCCTCGCCTTCTCTGTGATATGATGTGCTACACGTGCTCTGGATAATCTTCAAGGCAACAGACAGCAGCAGGTCGATGTACCTACCGAAAGGACCGCGATTTCTCGCCGCACTCAAGAGGAGCGGCAGACCGGCCAGAAGCATTATGGCTTCAGCTTAAGGCAGCTACTTCCAAACTTGCACTGGTGCAGGGAAAGCTCGGAAAGGCTCCAGCCTGCGCGAGTACCAGCTCCAAGGAAGCTGTTCTCCTGCCACTGCAAATGCACACAAGACTTCGTCTGGCTGTGCGAGGCCTTTGGGCTGCGTGTCCAGGTTCCAATGCTCTCGGACAGAGCCGGCATGGACTTACGAGCCAAAGTCGGGAGATCAACGAATGAGGTCAGTCGGTTTCAGTAGGTAAGGAAGGAAGTGCCGAAGCAAACCAAGTAGGTAAGGAATCAGAAGAGTAGACATTGTGCATGCAAAGAACTTCAAGCAACCAAGACAGTTAAAGGCGTACGTCTAAATACCTGCCAAACCATGGACACACAAGCATAAAACTGAGCTGCACGAGATACACGTTGTTTCAAGGCATTCTTCTAGGACGGTTTGCAGCATCGACCAGGAAATACGTCACCAAGCGTGTGCTTCACACTCGCAGCAGTTTGCCGATTATCGAATAGCTACAGAATTACCACTCGTATAAATTCATTCTTCGCACCCGCAAACGCAGAAGTGCATCTGGAAACTTATCCTTCTCCAAATACTTCCTTGTGCGAGTGTGGGCGTCGAAATACTCTTAATTTCAACAGGATGAAAGAGCGTCTCGCTGCTTAAGAAACGACATCTTCTACGGTCAGTCTATGTCAAGGACCTACCCGCTAAACTACAAAAACAAAACCTTCAAATAACCCCGACCTGCGTCCTATAATAACCTTTGTTCTTGGCATGTCAAACATCCAATGGACTGTCACCGAAACTTCTGCCCCAATGCACATCCTGAAGCCTAAATCCGTGACCCCACGCCCGGGCCTTCGTGAGACTTCCCGACAACAGCGCCGCTGCCGGCTTGGACAAACGTGGATGATGCAGGTTGAACTCCAAAAAACCTGAGTTAACAGAGCTCGTGAACCGACGAATGTTACAATCAACCGCACAATGTTGCAAGAGCTTACATCCTGAGACTATCCTGAGCATCGAACTCTGTATCCTCCACGATGCGTCTTCACGCCAAACTGGTTTTTGCATCGGACTTGCCCGGAAATCCTACACCCCGAGCCATAGATCTCGAACGCGCCTAACGTAGCCGACGTAGGCGCCAAGCCAGCAATTCCATCCTTTGTTCCTACATCCGAAGCCCTAACCCCTAAACATCCCTTTTTGCAACTGGACTCGATTCGTGGTCAGGAGGTCAGGGAAAACTGATCACAAGGAAACTTTCCTCCGAAGCCCTCCCACTACATGTTCCCCTCCCCTCACTCATCGTTAGCAACATTTGTTCGCAGCTGGGAGCGGTCCGCTCCGACCTCGACGTGTTCCTTTAAACGAAGGACCTGCCCCTGACCCCGATGAGCCAGCGGCTCCTAGGCAGTCTAGATTTCGGATCCGGATCCGCGGCGGCCGTGCCTTCCTCATTCCTACCTGCAGCCGGGCCGAGGACGACGACACGAATCGTTTCCAAGGAGTTTGGAATATCAAGACTAAGAAGTTAACCACTCTGATGCGCGCGATCCCCGTTGGAAAATGGCTTGCTTGTGGTGGCTGCGGCTGTTGATGTTTGTTTGCCCTTGCAGTTTCGATTTTCTTGGATTTGAGGTCGGAGATGCAAGGAATGGAAGCATGTTTTCTGGGTTACCGGTTTGGAAACGGGCCTTAACATAGAACCACCTGCCGAGAGGCAGAAGACCCGTTCCTTCACGAAGAACCGCTCACGCCTCCAGTCATCAGTTCTGGACTTCGCGATGGCCGAAACTGCTTCCTCAGAGGGTACATGCTCCCCCAGTCCAGGGTGTAAGTATCAGTGAGGTGATTTTCTACTCCGACCCAGACTCGAGAGGTGAAAGGGATCCAGGAGTGGCGTTCAGGGATGCCGGTGCAAAGTTAGAGCGAGTTGGCAAACTCACTCTCGGAGTGGCGAGGCGAGGTTTCGGAGGTTTAAACGGCTTTGCTTCAAAGAACCTCTCTCTTTGTTTAGCTCTAGCCTTTGCGTTGCCGAAGACTGGAATGGGGAAAGCATTCGCCCCTCGCGACAGAATGGTATTCGCATGTCAGGCGTGAGTTGGAAAGTTAAAAACCACAGGATGACGGGGCAAGGTCCAAAGCTCTGCAATGAGTGAATTAGTTTATTCTATCATCGAATGGGTGGCCGCTTCCCACAAAATCCACAAAAAATGCCAAAGCCTCCTGTGCCAAAATCTCGAGCTTAATCGTCTTTGATGTCAGCTTCGGGCGGTGACTGTCGCATTGCGAATTGTCGTACAGCATCCTCAGCTGTAGCTTTGTACATGCCGGCGGGGGAGCACCGCCCACATTCCGTAAGCGCCTGTGACTTCACACTCCGGAGCTCTCCAGGGCTAGGGTTCTGATCCGGCTGCCTGCTCCGAGCGCTGCTCTTCCGGTCTCTGCAGAAAATCCATCGCTGCCAAAGACTCGGTTTCCGACACACCCGCCGAGAAGAGGCTGATCTTCAGTGCGACTTGAGGCCACTTCTTGATCAGATCGGCGTAGGAAGGCATCGTGAGCACTTGGCTCATGTGGTCCTTGATGAAGGAGAGACACGCCGTCTCGAGCTGCTTCGCCTGCAGAAGATGCGCTTGGCAGAGGATGTCACAAACCTGCGATTTGTCGATTTGCTCTGAAAGCTTCGCCTCGCACCACAGCTGCAGTCGTTTCACTTGATACTTGTCACTCACGGCCAAAAGCGCCTGAATCTGACCCAGCTGCGGGCCCCAGCTCTCACTCCCGGAATCGCTTGACGTCCCCTTCAACAGGAGCGCTTGGGCATCCGGCAGCCGATCCGTGTAAAGGAACTGCAGAAAAGCCTTGAACGTAGCGACATCGCAGTCCTGGATCACGATGACTTTCGATAAGCTTTCCTGCATGCCTGCCGTCAGCTGTTTGCTGAAAACCTCGGACCGTGCACAGAGAACCTGCGAGTGGGCGTGGATCACCTCGCCCTGCACTAAGAACTGCACGTCGCTGCACTTGCCTTCCTCCAGCAGTGCCTGCGTGTCTTGACTCATGGTTGGCTCCGGGACGTCTGCTGGGAGACTCAAGCGCTGAGCTTTGGGGGGTTCATCAGGGCGGACATCGAGCTCGAACTTTACCGTGAGAGTGTCGTCGTGCACCCACTTGGAGTGCAAGAGCTCATCATAGCTCAACCCGAAGATGCCTAGAGAAGCTGGGGGATCACCCGGCCAATGCACATCGGGGCCGTAAGCGCAACAGTGCGGCCAGTGGTCGCAGGATCCATCGTGGACGGCATCGCCCGTCTCCCCCCACTGCACATACTCGGCATTCTGTGCCCTGATGTAGATGCGATACCGGATGGCGACGCACGCCTTGGTGTTCAACACGATGGCGAGAGACCCATGATGCTGATGACACAGAGAGTGTGCCCACGGGCTGTAGCGAAATTGGAACGCCTCGTTGCCAACTTTGAAGCCCATGGAGTCGACGGTATCGTTGTCCTCTTGATTCAGCATGCTCTTCAACCAAGAGAAGCCTGTGATTCTCCAGACATACTCGCCCCTAGCGACCATATCTGCACAACTCGTGCTGTTTCCACCGCTTGCTCTCATCACAGGTTGCCCGCTGTCTCGACCACCTGCAAGCCGACCACCGGTATGCCATGCGCTCAGGACCCGGTCCTCGTCAAACAGCCGTCGAAGCTCAGCTGCGCTCTCATTTTCTGACTGCTCCTGTGCCAGAACCTGCCTCATCTCCTCCAACTCTAGGCGAAGCCTCTGCCGCTCTGTGGCCCGAGTGATCTCTGCATCGAGCTCCTGCCGTCTAGCCCTCTCTGCCTCCACCTGGCGCCGCGTCGCCTCGATCTCGGCACGCAGCTCTTCGGCCGACATTGCCGCGGCCATGGCGAAGGGCGAAAGGAGGACCTCACCCGAAAATGAAGCGGCTGCTGCGTCGAGGCGTGCTCTCATTGCTGACTTTCTGGAGAGCCAGTATCATCCCCGAAATCTGGGACCCCAGCCGAACAGAGGCCTTTTCAAACTCCCCCCTGACTCGCAACTCCCCAACCTCTAATTCCACATATTT